TCTCTTCAGTGAGGCCATACACAATAATCCAAGCTTATCAAATGCACAAAGAATGCAATTCCTTAAGAGCAAGCTTAAGGGAGAAGCTGAGCGTTTGGTACAGCATCTACAAATCAGCTCTGAAAATTATATAGCCTGCTGGGAGATATTAAATCAATAGTGGATCAAGCAAAGTACGCCAACAAAAATATTTTTGTTTATTTTACCAAATTGTCCCTATTTAGAGGCAAGTAGCACCAGCAACCGTCATCATACGTCGGCTGGAGTTAATTCCCAATTTTTGCATATCAAGTAGATTCGTTTTAATTAGTTTTTTGAATGACAATCTAGATGTTAGTAGCCTTATTGGTGGTGGTATATTGTTCCAGCATTTTGTCGCTTGATAACGGAAACTACCCCTAAATGCCACAGTTTTATGCACTTGGATGTCCAGTGGAGGCTTCACGGTCCTTGGCCCTCGGTGGTACTCTCAAATCGCGAATACGGAATGTCAATTTATCTAGCAAATACTTCGGATTTTTTAACTGGATTATGTCAAACATTAACATGGCCAGATGTAGGTAACGGCGCGACTCCATATTCAACATTGTGGGGTTATTTATAAAAGGCGAGACATGAGTACGCGGTGGGATATTAAAACAAAAACTGTATCAGAATCTGAGTCCTACACAGCAGACGAGGATCATAAACCAAGTCGCCGTAATTCAACCTTGATAAAACTAAAGATTCGCATAAGGCAATACAAGCTTTTTCCGATAGAAAATTTCGTATCCTATACAGTACCTTCAACCGGTAAAAACAATTCCTAACAGTACCCAATACATGGTTCTCAAAATGCAATTGACTATCAAAAATCATTTCAAGATTGTTTGCTTCGTTGACTAGCTCTATGTCACTATCATTAATTTTGATACTTGGGTGATTATTCAGAATAATAGCAATTTGGTTCTTCGATCCCAAGACCATAAATTTGGATTTTGTTTTATTGAGAACCAAATCATTTTCATCACACCACATAGCTACGCCTTTCAAGTCTTCATTCATCTTTCAAACGGTTTCGGTTATTTAATAACTCCTGGCAAATCAGCCGTATATATAATAAAGAGAAGGGTCCAAGTATGGAGCCTTGGGGTACACCTCGCTTAACAGGTTCCGGGCTATAATTCATAAAAGATCCATCCTGCCTGCGGAGTCTAACCGACTGAAAGCGATTGCTGAAGTAGCTACTAAACCACTTAATCGAGTTCGGATTAAGTGGTTTAGTAGCCGTAATAGGCTAACTTAGATAAAAGTAGATATCGCAGCGGTACTTTCTTGATTTCTCCATGATAGTTTATCATTCCGGTTTTCGTTCATGTATAAAAGTAAATTCATTGTCAAAACTCAATAAACAACTCATATTCTATGTGTACTTTTTTGTATTTGTACCTATTGATATCTAAGTGTTGAACTTTGCAAATTTCAGTTTTTTAATACGCAAGTTAAAAGGAATGGAAATGACCACCTTTGACCCTCCAAAAATCAACTATTGGTAGAGTCGCCATCTAGTGAGATGCTTTTAGTGCTTTCTTTGTTTTGTTAAAATACTTCCTCAATAAAATAGGAATGTTTAAAATCGTAATAAAATACCGACACCGAAAAACCAACATTAAGTAATAACATTAAGTGATGAAATTAAATTAAGTAGCTAATAATCAATGATTAATATGTCATTCATTGGTAATAACTACGATTTTATTGTCTATAATAAATTCTAATAGTCTACGACTAGCGATATGAAATTTTTAATCAAAGTGGGTTACCTATGAGTAATTCATTATTATTCAATTATTTAAATTAGAGTTACATGCGAGAATATAATCGAATCTTCTTTATAATTGGTAAAATATATGCCTAAAACCTCAAACCTAATGTGTTGTTTGTTTGTTATTTTTTTTGGGACATGATAATGAACCAATGTTTAACTTTTTGTAATTGTACATTCCTGTTCGTCTTGTATTACCCCCACAAATTGCTTATGCGAAATGTGTTCTGTTCTGTGCTAGTGATTTTGATGAATTGCGTTCAAAAGTCAGTACATTAACAAATAAACACTGGTTGACGAATGCACTTATTGAATTGGGTTATGTTGAGACCACACATCATTTTTGTTAGTTTTGATTGTTATTACTAAGTTTTTTGTTACTTGTTATCGTAGACGAAAACAGCTAACTAGCTACATTAACAAATAACAAAATATAGCTACTATATTTGACGGGAGCTGAAAATAACTGAACTGACATATACCTACATATATGAAATGACTTCACACAATCAACCTTACTCACTCGACGGAACATCCGTCGCGTACTAACGTAGAAAGTAAGTTTATACAACTTTATGCACCAACAAAGAGCATCGTTATGCACTCTAGCGTACCTAGGTAGTTTGACTAAAGGATAATTCTCAAATACAGAGATAAAATGTGCCTAAACAGACACAATAAAAAACCTTAGTTCGCATTGAAGTGTCAATATATATATTTTTAATATTCATAAATTCAATATACATTATAATATCAAGTAAAATGAATTACTATAATTTATATAGGCAATATTTTAACACATGTTAATCTATGGGTATGTTTAACAATCTAAAGTACTTATTTTAACAAATGTTCAGCAACCAGTTGGAACAGCGCTTCATTCACCCATCACTTAATACATTACAACAAACACAATATGGCAATAGGAATTCACATTTGGCTTACGATCTAAGAATTTTTAAAACTATAAATAGTATTTTAATGTAATGTTATAAAGGAAGAAATACTTTACTGCAATATTTGTATTGCACATGTAACTAAACACCGCCGTAGTACATAATGCCATTTCATGTAAAAATAAACTTTTAATTTCATACAAAATTTTATTAAGATCCTAAATTATTATTTGGCACATAACTAAAGCTAAATTATATCGTAACCTTGGACGGGTCCGTTATATGTTACAGAGGCCCGCCTCGCCCTAACGTAAGTAATCTTTGGTTTGTCTAGCTCACCCAGTGACAATTTGGAATCACTTAACATTAAAATATAATAAAATATCAAATAGATCAAACAGGACCAAATAATTATTTTATATTACATTTAGCAAGTTATTTTTTCACTCATTCGACGAATATTTGATTTCGTTATAGTCAAGAATACTGTTTTGAGTTATTGACTTTTACGTTGCGACACAAAGTTTAATTATTTAATCTAGAGAACTGTTAAAATGTAAAATCACTCTTTGAATCACGTAGAATGAACGACTCTTATTCTGCAACACTAAATGGTAAAATATGAATCGTATTATTTATTAATTCGTTGCATAGAAACCTTTGGAAATTATTTTTATCTAGGTACTTATCATTTACAAAATATAGAAATAATTAGGTATCTCTTAAAGTGTATTTTTGCTTAGGAACTCTCAGTTCTAACATAGGTGTATACTGTTAAAATAAAACTAACGAAATGGATAGAACCGTATTAAATGCGACAAGGAAGTGTGTACAAGAAGGGAAGAAACATGTGAATTATGACATAAAATTAAGTACGGGATTAAATCAGCCGCGACCGCCGAACTCAAAGCTACCAGTGCATATACATTATATCTGTATAAAACTTATTTTAAATTAATCAATGAATTTGGTTTATTTCCGCTTTCAAAACACCATCGCTTTTGTTATCAATAAAAAAACTTATAATATAAAACATATTAATTAATAAAAGCACTAATAGAGCTATTAATAAACAAGGTTTAGCGTCGGAGTAAATTTACGATAAAATTGCAATTTTAATATTTGCCCAAATTGATATTATACAGAGAATGAGCAAACCTACTACCTTCTAGGAGTAAATATTACTCCCGTAGAGCCTCGCACTAGGTTAACCGTTTACTAAGGCTCTGTTTAAAAATATAAATTTTGACTAATACTTAGTGCAGTCTCAGTGTAAATTTACTCCAACGCTATGACCTTGTTTATTAATAAAACTGTAAAGGTATAACTTTGAGTGTAGCTTTGAGGTCGCGACGCAGAACGGATGCATGCAGATGGTAGAGCTGATAAATAAATCTTAACAGATAAAAATACTTACTCAGTACGGAAACTTGTAATATAAGAGCATGGTTAAGGAGGACTTCAATAAACTATAGAGTAAATTTATAGTAATGTTAATGTTAGCCTATTGTGTCCATTAAAACAGATGCTGATTATTGTCACTCCGCGCCTCACTAGTAGTTAACGCTCTCCTATTTACAGATATAACACCGTACAATATTTACAATTATCAATATTTACAACTTAACATTTAATTTGGATTACACGAAAAAGTTTTTTAAACACAGCGGAGATCCCATATGAGTATTATGGAATGCTTAGAACTTAAGTAAGATTGAATCTATCTAAACACTTAGCATTAGAATATGAAAAGCTTATTTTCTTTACCAAATTTTAAATGTTCATTAACAGATGATAGAATCTTTGAAAGTTTTGGAATCGTTTCACCTCACGTCTAATTAATAGACCTACGTTCTTCATTAGAATGTCTATGTATAATTAACACCAATTATGGTAACATTTACACCAGGGCAATTAACGAGAACTATATCAATCGACGCCAGTCGCTCTTAGAAATCACAATTGAATTTTATTTAGGCGCGGGACGAGTAGGTACTGTTGTATACGTATTTTGGAATTAAAGGTATTTATTTATGTATTTAGTAAATTATAATGAAACTTTATTGTAGGTCATATTGTCAGCATAAGGGTAAGCCCAGCTTTTTTCGAAAAAATATGTGATATTCTTGATGAATAATGTTTATAAAATTCACTTTGTCCCTAGTACTCTGAGATGGCATCTTTTTTCAAAAAAACTGTAATATTCTTAATGAATAATGCTTATAAAATCCACTTTGTCCCTAGTACTCTGAGATGACATACCTATACTACCAGGGACAAAGCGAATTTTTTAAACGTGTTTCAGTAAGAATATTTTCCAGTATAACACTGTGAATGCGAAATTGGTCAAATATAATAAACATTTCGTTGTTTGCTGTTCGTGAATTGGCACAAGAGATATATGACAATATTCGTTATCATATAAATAAATCTTCCATCAAAACTGACATCTCGAAAATATCAAGCCATTGTATAAAATAATATAACAACATTAAATGAGTATTATGCTACAGGTACTGGCCTTTGGGATAACGTAATTAATTAATAATTAAATATAATAATATGAAATATTAAAAATAAGTAATATTTTTGGCATCGCGAATCGTCCTTTGGCATTATAGTTATTTTGGTAATACATCTTACTTTATAAAAAACTGACGTTGAGCAACAAGCTTACATCGAAACGAGACAAAATACCGAGCATCAAATACTTGATTACCGTCAAATGGTATGTCAGCGACACGGCGGTTCATGAGCCGGACACTAGACGTTTCAAAGATTTCATCGGTTCAAAGTATTTGGCACGGTCTCACTCGGTCAATTGTTGAGGAGTTAAAACTATTCAATACAATGCAACGATCTGTTTTATTCGCTCGATGTAAAATTAGATATACCTGCCGAGTGTCGAGAACTCGTCCTCTAAAACGTATTCAATTTGAATAAACAAAATCTTTGAGATGTCTTACATAGAACTATGTACGAACTAAACTAAGAACCTCAGAATGGATGACATTTTTTCGTCAAAATCATAGAAGAGTAGAATTAATGTTGTTTTCCAATAGTGTTTTGTTCTTCTACAGTTTGCTATGAAGCTAATGTGGTAATTATTAACTAATCTGCGGCTATGTCGAAATATTTAATTTCTGTAGGGCTTGCAAATGGCGAATCTGTGGTTCATGTGCTGACTGTAGGAGCCGGAGTGTGAGAACTTCTTGAGGCACTTGAAGCACTGGAAGGGCTTCTCACCCGTGTGAAGCCGCTGGTGCTCCGTCAGGTGGTGCTTGTGCTTGAACGCCTTAGGGCACACCTCGCACTTGTACGGACGCTGACCTGCACACACAGGTTATAGTTTTTTAATAATTGCAATATCGAACTGATTATAAATCTTATGAGATGTCAAATCAGCGGTATCAGCGGTGTTATAGAGCAGTGTCGGTTGACAAGGATTTATTTTGATGTCATGGATCAGATTAAGTGAAAAATAAAGATGAAAGAATTTATAATTAATCAAAAATACCAACCTGAATGTTCATATTTGTGTCTAGCTAAGGAACTTTGCTTGACAAAAGTCTTATCGCAAAGATTGCAGACGAAGTGGTCCTCGCCTTCTTTGAATTCTTGCTTCAATTTGTTCTTTTTAAGTACAGGAGCGTCTTCGTCGAATTCGTTTTGTGATTCCCTCCACGAGAGTCGCTCGTACGACGGGCTCGATGCCTGCCGACTCTCCGTGGTCATTTCCATCTTAAGAACGGGAGACCGTGCATGAACGACGTCGTTTTGTTGTATTAATCTGTCCATCGGCATCAGATGGTTCATGAGCATTTTCTGCGGTAACAATCGTTTCTGCCCATTTATTGTTTCGCTTGGCGAAGGAGATAGCCGAAAGTCTGTGAATGAAGACGAAGAGCAATTGGAATGTGGATACGTGTTATTGTAGGTGGGGCGGTGCGGTGTTGTACTGCGCGAAGACTTTTGGCTTAGGTTCACTGCCTCTTCTGAATCGGAATGTGTCACAGAAATACTGCACGACGGAGAAGGTGTCGGGCTAGGTGTCGGTGATTGAGCTGATTTTTTGGTTGACAAATCGAGTGGCTGATCAGATACCGACAACGTTTGCGTCATCCTCCGTACACGTGCTCTGTTGTTTTGGAACCAAACCTGTACAACTCTATTATCAAGTCCGATTTTTTGAGCGATCCTCTTGAATTCTTCTCGATTTGGTCTCGGATTAATCGAATAATGCTCTTTTAGTATTGCTTGCTGTTCTTCACTTAATGCCGTCCGAACTCTTATTTTTCTATCGTTATCATGTAAAGACAATTTATCATCACGCTCTTCTCTCGAAAAGTCTTCATCTTCACTCGCGCTCACTCCGCTCTGTATAGAAGCGCGCATTTCGGCTTCCAATCTATTAAGTGCTACTGTTTCAGCTACTTGAGCTGCCAATCCTTCGTGTTTCCTAAATAGACTTCCACAGACTACTTTTTCATGTTTTAATAAATCTGCGCTACTATTAAAGGTAACATTACATTTTTGACACCTATGGGCATCTTCAGGTTCTTCTTTTACGATAATGTGAGGTGGTGATTCTATACTAGGACAGACATTACCCGAAATAGGTGACAATTTTTCCATATTTGCTCTGAAAAAATGCTTCGTGACTGATGTGTTTACGGATTCTAATATCGTGTTGAAACCAGAATGATTATTATGCATTTGGTCATTGTTGTTTAAAGGGACGGATTCGAAATTAAGAGGTGACTTTGGACCATGTTCGTGGTCTTCTTGTTCCTTTTTGATAGATGCCGCTTCGTCTTCCTCGATATCCATTACGAGTTCGGCACTCCCTTCTGATCGTTTATCGTCTTCTTCAGTGACTTCCTCTATGAGATCTTCAGGGTCAGCTGGAGGAGGACTTGTTAATTTTGGGCTAACGGGGGTTTCTATTTTTCTTTGTTGATATTGTGATGAAGCTAGTTGTTCGAATAATTGGCTAAGCGAAGTCGGAAAACTATACGGAGCAATACCACTCGCTGGGCTCATAGGCATGCCTGGTGGCATATAAAAGGGATTAATTCCGGGTTGCGCCAATGGCGGCCGATGGAAATTGTTTTCTTGGGAAGACATACTAGCAAAGAAAGCGGCGGCAGCAGCTTCGTTGTATTTGGGTAAAATCGGTAGAAACGAGCTTCCATTTGGGGCAATATTGTTGTTAAGTTGAGATGTCACTATGGCGTTGGCCCGTTTTCTCGATGGACTTCTTTCAGGGTTTAGAGCGGGATTATTGGGTTTGATTCTTCCCATCTTGAGGTTCATGACGAGACATTTCTTGGAAGTCATGTGACTAGAGTAAGAGCCGGAGTGGGAGAACTTCTTGCCGCAGTTAGCACACTCGAAAGGCTTCTCCCCGCTGTGAATACGCAAGTGCTCTTTGAGATGGTGTTTGAACTTGAACGCTTTGTCGCAATCATTACATTTGAACTTGCGTAACAACGCGCTTTCGTCGTGGCTGATCATATGGCGCTGCAGTCGGTAGACGTTCGCGAAGCTTTTGTGGCATATCTTGCATGACTGTTGACAAATAACAACTCCATTGTAGAACGTCATTACTTAAGTTTTTAAGAGATGCACCGAGTAATGGTTTATCGTTTGGAATTCTTAGTTTGAAAATTTTATTAATACACACGTAGATACTCGGCCGATTAACTCCATCAAATGCTGTGATTAATTAAATTTAAAAACTCTGCATTCTACACGATTATGCGACTAATATTCGGTTCATCTCTAATTTTAAATATCACACAAATGTTTAGAAAGTCGTCGAAATAGTAGATTATAAATTTTATGAGCATTTTAATTAAATTAAACAGGTAGGTATCATAAAAGGTAGGAGAACCTCTGATAGATACTTTAAAGTCATGCATATCCTCATGATGCATAAGTCCGTTATAACAATGGGCACTGACATATCTGAGTGTATCCACCTGTGTGCTGGGGGAGTGCAGGGTCTCGTGCCGCTCGAGTTGTTCACGCGTGGGGTACGCGCCCCGGCACTGGCTGCACGCGTACGGTCCCCCGGGACCCAGTGGGGACCCACTGCGGTCCTCTTCTTCCTCGGACGGCTTGCCCTCCGACCCTCCGCCCGCCAGTGGACGGACTGCAAACAATGACAGCCGTTCATAAGAATGACGATTTAATTCACAACTACGGGAGATGATGAATTATGTTGAAGATACGTAACTAAATGCTTGTGAAGTTAAAAAGTGAGTTAGTTTCGAGCTTTTTAATGCTCGTAATTCATGTGGTGGGTGATTACTGAATAAATACAAAATAAATGTTACACTATTCAACTCTGCAGAGAGTAAATATTTTTAAAAAGAACTTATTAAATCAGTACAAATAAATGCTTTTCATTAAAATTCAACGAATGTGAGCGCCAGTCATAAAATACTGTTATCATAGAAGGTAATTTTAGCCAGTCCCAGTGCAGTGTGATCACGTAATCCTATTCGGAACAAACAATTAGCCGTAGAACACATTGTCGGCGATTAAAGCGAGCGGACACCTTTACTGGTGTTTTATAAAAACACACACGCGGCAACAATTCAATTTGCCGTCGGTTATTTCGGTAATACGGCCGGCTTCCCGCGTAATATCGTTTTTAAAAGCGCCGCCGGCACCGCCGTACCCGTAAATCAAATATAATAAAGAGCAAAACAACACGACGTATTAATTAGCCCGCGAGCTCGTGGCGGCACGGTCGCGCGTCGCTTGCTCGCGCGCACACTTTATGCACTACATCTTATTATTATCAGCAATTCATAGAAACTATTAGTTTGACGTAAGTACGTACAGTACTATATACCGTAACCCCGATAAAAGGTCGCCGCGAACGATACATATACAATGTAATATAAAAATTAAGTCTTCCGTATTGCACCTACCTATTTACCGCCATGAAAGCGGTGCGTGGCTGAATATTGTACATATTGTATGAACAAAAAAAGATGATTCGATATATTGAAACATAAATTAACTGTGAGTATCATTTTTAATTTAAAAAAATTTGCAGATTAGGTTGATTATTAGAATTTTAACACCTTTTGCTGTATTTTTTTTTCCTTTTAATTAAATACAGGTTTGGATTAGATAGCGTTAAGATGTTTAATTACTAAAACGCGGTAGGTATGTACAGTACTCCTGGGTAAGCATGTGGCAATGTTAGTCTACTGCATCCCTTTTAGGTTGTGCTCAATCCTCGCGGCGCGTTATAATCTGCCATCGAACAAAGCTATTGAATTTTAGAAATACGAGCTCATAACGAACCTGCCCTTACTGCATACGAGGCACGTTATAGCTGCACACGGTATATCTACACATATGGCCAGTAACGAAATGTCTGGCTTTCGCCTATATAAATACAGTAGGTAGGTTTCTTTTTAATTTCTTTTTAAAAACCTAATTTCTTTTTAAAAACAACTTCTAATATCGTTTGTTTATTAATAGAAATGAATTTATAAGTATGTTGTATTTATTATAAAATTAAAATTTGTGCGCTACGACACATGTGTTTTCCGCTACTCGACGACAGATGGCGCTAGTAAGGAAATGTAAGTGCACGGCATTCGATGGTTTTCTTAGACAAGTTATAGATAATTCTTTCTTCCTCATTTATAAATATAAAAAGTGTGTCGTGAGAGATACTATTATAACGACGTGTAAAATTATAAAGATAAGTAAATACTTACACAGTAAAACATTTCTTATAAAGTTCTAAATCGCCTAAATGCAATGTTTTTTGATAATTTTAAAATAGGTACTACTCCTCTTAGTTCATCAGTATTTTTTAAATATCCTGAATACATGACTTCTTTTCAGGTTGAAAAATACGTGCGACTGTCTTGAGCTATAATTTGGAAAGGGGATGACAAAAACATGAAATATAATTAAACAAGTCCATTTTCCTCACAAAAATCGTGTTTTGCTGTCGTCGCGCGCGACCCACAGATTGCAAAACCACTGTTCTAGATAACTACAGTTAGTCGTGTTTTCTCTATCAGTAAATAAAATTTCACTATCAGTTTTTTTTCACGATATCCGAACCGCGATCGCTTTAGTTATGTATCGTATTGGTAATAATACGATAACTAAACGAATTATTCATTGATTCAAATAATAATGTCTAAGTATTCATAGCTTTTGCTTTGGCTTTAGCTTTGAGTTCAGAAGTCATGCATGGAGCAGATAGTGCAATCGAGAATAGGTAGGTAGGAGTACTATGTGACCAACATTTTGTCAAGTTTAAAAAATATATATTGTTGCTATAAATAACTGAAAGTTAAATGTTTAAGTGGAAATAGAATAAGTATAATAACATAATAACGAAATCAGTGTTTAGTTATTTCTCGTGTCTATTTTCTTTGAAACCTTAAGACAAAAACGCAGTTAGTCTGATAGTTTATTACTTGAAAAATCTAAATAATTAGGGTAATTAGCCTCACATTTTATTAATAACATATTCTCACGATCTTCAATATTAGAAAAAATGTTTTATTTTGTATAGTTCTGCTGCCACCCGTAAGATGGCGCTAGACGTATATATAAAAGTAACATCTACTTAATAAAGCTCATCGTCTACTTATGAGATACAGACATTGAATATATCTAGTTGTAAATTATAATTTATCATCAATATTGTTTGTATTTTGTTTACCAAGTCGTAATGAGTAGGTAGTAAACTTAAAATAAAAAACGCTATGCAGGATCCTATTAAATGACATTGTAAAAAAGTTGTTCATAACATAATGTTCCACGGACTTTAATAAGCACATCAACGAGATCGTCATAACAATAAACAATTGACGCTTAAAAGTTTTATAATGCTATAAAGAAGTATAACACTACACGGTATATGAGCTCAATAAGTAAATACGAGCATATATACACAACAAAAGACACATTTAGTGTCGTTACAACGCCATTATGCATTGTTTATCGCACTAGGTGGAGCGGACGGCACACCTACACACGACGAATAATCTCTGCGCACGGGCATCGGACAGAGTGCGTCCGTTACCCACTGATAAAAAACCTACACACGCACACACAGATACTCACTATTAGTTTCCTATTCACGATAAATAACAATTATCGCACACACACAGCGAACGTTTAGGTACAGATAAGAGCCCGATTGTGGATCGTACAGGCTAGCGATTGGTGGCACCTGTGTGCGGCGCGGGGAGGACAAACAGCCCAACATACAGAAGACACCATGTTGTATAACTAACAATCGTAATTGTGAACGGAGAGAATTATTATTGAAGTGTTTAGACGCCGGCCATTTGTTAGCTTGCGGCCGATTTGACGCCTCATTTACAGCGACGATGGCCCCTGATCTTTGTTCTAGAGAATCGTTCTTTGCAATATCGTCTAACGCGACGTAGTGCTGATGTTTAATATGTCTCCAAAATGCGTAATTTTTAATAGTCGTCGTTATTAAAATTCTTAAAACTCTGTATTTATAAGTATTTGGCTCTACATTTTTAAACTTATAAATCTAATAATTACTTATTTTATGTTTTTCTCTATTCATACCCGATTTCTGAATTGATTAAATTAATCAGTTGATAGTAGTTTGATAAAAACTATTTTTTATTTTTATATTTATTTTTTTTGGCTTGTGAAAAGAATATAAAAACTTAAGTTATTCAGAATAATCAGTTGAGATTTCACACTTTTCCCAATTCAGAGGTCATTAGACTCAGATATATTTATTTTACGAAAGTAATCCTTAGCATTATAATATTTGATCAATTTTGCATTGCAGTCGCCTGGATTCCGAAAGGTCATGGGGTCGAGTCCCAACTCAGAATGCCAGAGATAAAGTCGATTTTAAGTATTTTCAATAAAACAATCATCTAACATCGCTAATTTGAATCATCGCTGTAAACGTTAGGTAAATGTTAAGAACACAATCATAAAAACTCATAAATTTTATTTTCATTTAAAAAAGCTGTAGGTTATACGTACTGTCAAGATAAATATTTAAAATTATTTTCCCTCGGCATTTTCTATTATTCTATATAAATTTATTGTGAAATATATATATTTTATGGACTACTAGGTAAAATTTCTATGATTAACGATCGTCATTTAACGCTATGTAAAGAATAATTATAAGGTAAGATTTTGTAATCTTAAAATCACTGTAAGCTTACGGAAGTGTTTTATAAAAAATAAGATTTAACCATTCGAATTTTCGGTTATCAACACTGCTAAATCAGACTCCACTTTCCCTTATGGAAATAGTTTTGTCGTAGGTGTATATATCAGCTCTGAATCAGATGTCGAGATGAAATTGTGTAACTCTCCAGAGCCATATTTGTGATTCACTTTCTGAATCATAAACGGAGGCAAATCCGTTCCAATGTTGACAAACGATTAAATGTAGCTCAACTTTATACCGATACCGTAATATTTTGTCTACAAACAACCAATTAACGAGATCTAACGAGTCATTATTGATGCTTTCGTTTGGTTCCTAAGTGTCTTAAAGTGTAACGTCGTTTACTATAACATTAAAAATGGCGTCATAATATTTAATGTTTCATCAATAAATTTCTTGCAAACAGTGCTTAGTTAATATAGTTTTGTTATCTGTTACAATGATAATTATTGAGACTATCAACGCGTTTATTTTAATCTTACACTAATCTTTCTAGTTTTGCGAACCGTTGGTATAGTTTTCAACTTTCACAAGTGCTATGTAACAGCCTAGACTGAATAATGATTTTTAGTTTCACACACTTTTTCTACACACACTAATTTTGGACGATTGATATTAACATTCAGTGATTTCTTTCATATGAAATCGTTGCACCCTCTTTTTAAGTTTATTTGTATGTACTTCAAATTTCTTTTATAGACAACCGAAATAGCCATTTACACAATTTGAAAGTATTGGATTTTATATAATCTGATTTTAAAATTCACTTTACCTATTACTTTTCAACATGTTTTCTTTCTGTAGTGGAACAACGATGGCCATTTATGTATAAATCACTTTTCACAGTTTCGTTACGAGCTTATTTTATTGTAAAGTACCTAGTCGCGAGTTTCGAATTTTCCACTCCAGACAGGCGGCACACTCAAAGAGGAAGAATGAAAATAAAAGCACAAAAGAATGAAAAGCAAATGAATTAAAACAACATAATCATTTACGGTTTAAGACGGCG